AATGTGTCCTGGGAAAAGGATGTGTTCTGTTTATTTAAGAAGGCTGATGCCAGGCAAAAGGAAATCACTGTATGTACAGCACACACTCATGGTTAATGGCATCTCCAGGTTTCAGACTGGGCCCATCACTCTAGGCTTTAGTTTCTTCTCTGTACGATGCAGATATTTGCCGGAAAGCCATGACTTTCTCGTAGAGTTTATTGAGGTTACTAGCTGAGAGATGTGGTAGAAGGGTATGTGCTGCATGATACTGTGGTAAACTAACAACCTGCTTTTTTCTGTTGGGCACCCAACACGTTGTGTTTGGCAAACTGTCACAGGGCTTTGCAGAGTTCAGGGGCAGAAGGGATGGCCTCTTGTTTTAGATGGCACGGAGTCTCTAGCTATCCATTGGGGCAATGTTAGGATGATGTTTGGCAGATAAAGAAGAGTAGGATGATGGTAGATGGTGGTAAGATTGATGGATAGGATAATGGTTGGCAGATAAAGAAGAGTAGGATGATGGTAGGATTGATGGGTAGGATGATGGTTGGCAGATAAAGAAGAGTAGGATGATGGTAGATGGTGGTAGGATTGATGGCTAGGATGGTGGTTGGCAGATAAAGAAGAGTAGGATGATGGTAGATGGTGGTAGGATTGATGGGTAGGATGATGGTTGGCAGATGAAGAAGAGTAGGATGATGGTAGGATTGATGGGTAGGATGATAGTTGGCAGATAAAGAAGTGTAGGCAAACTGAGAGAGAGGATGGCCTTCAAGCCTAGAGTAGGAGCTAAGTAGACTTAACTACCATCCACCGAGTAGAGGAACATGGAGCCTGGTGCCTGCGGGAGTTATCACAGGACCTTCAGCTGTGGGTTGGGAGGTGGTACGCACCCATCCATGAGAAGGTCTGCTCCAGCAGAAGTGCAATAGCCTTTTTGGGCAGCATGGCTGCTGGACAGAAGGAGCAACTTTCAGCCAGTCACAGCTGTAGAGGTGGTGGTTTGAAACAGCAGAGCTATGTACCACTGGATGTCTGGCACTGCAGACTAAGCCACTCCTTAGGCCATTTCCATCTACGTAGTAGTGGCAAGGGTATTTAGAAGATAGCTACTCTAGCAGTGAAGATGGAGCTACAGCCACAGAGCAGACTTATGCAACATGGCCTGGGTAGAAATGCATTTCTTCTCTCTCCACCATTGCTCTGGAGACACTCGTGGTTGTAAGCAGTGAACAGAAGGAAAGCGGGATGGAGTGAGGAGTCGGTATTGTTAGTACTTAACCCTGGAAAAATCAAGATACCTTCAGCTGCAGACCTCCTGCATGTCGAGTTGTTTTGGCTCTTCCTGGTGATTGCAGTGGAGACTATGATTTCTTTCGGTCCTTGGGTCTTTGTTCCAGTTATGTTGAGACTTATGAAGTCCAGAAGAGAAGTTTTTCACTTAGCTTTCAACTCCCACATAACACAAACCAGAAAGCTGCAGGCTGTCAATCTTGCCTGTAGACTTCCTTATGAGTGAGCAAGAGGCCATGAGAGGAATAGCCTCCTTATTAATTTTTTGACAAGAGTCCTGCTGTGCATTTAATTCTCCACAGCAGCTTCAAGCAGTTTTTTCCACCTCCGTTACTGATTTGTTTTCCTGGAAATATTGAAGCATCGGTGAACTTTCCTGAAAGCTTGTTTCTTGCATGGCAAATCTTCATTTTCCTGTCGATAGGGCAAGTTCAGCAATAGGTTTTCTTTCATTGAAAAGTAAGCGGCACCCACTCTTCAAAAGTAGGAAGAGGAGCGTTTCTCACATCATCTTCTGTCTGCCTGCCCTTTGGAGATGTCCTGGAAATGGGCATCACCTGCCTGAAGGACAACTCTTGCCTTGCTTCCACAGCCTGGGACATGTCCGGAGCATGTTGCAGACATGAGGTAGTAACACGTGAAATTTATTAGGATCAAGAAATTCCTCCTTCTCTTGTGGTTTTGGGAACGTGCCATGTTCTGATGTCTTTAACAAAAAGCCGGCATGCTTTTTGTTAAAGCTTCTGAGTTTTCAGGTCCTTCCCTGGAAAGGTTTGGACTGGTTTTCTTCCTTGTGCTTCAGAGAGACCTTGCTGAGCCCTGAGAGCTGCTGCTAGAGTGCAGATTGAGAATTTTGCTCTTGGGTTGATATTCATTTTAAACCACTGTTGGGTAACAAGCCCACAGATACTAGAAGGGGCATTACGGCAAGTGCGACAGCTTCTGGACTCTCCTCCATTCAGATTCCTAGCAGCCCTTCCAAGGTCTCAAGGTATTAGGAGGAATACAGCATCCTGCTTCCTGAAGTTTTTGTCTGCCGATGTCCTTAGACCAACACGGCTACAGCCTACACCCTTGTGCACAAGGAAATGTTGTTTGCCACAACACAAGTCATTGCTTTTACTTAAGTCTTTTATTTCTAAAAGGAAGACATCTTTTTAGAATGACACTGAAGAATGAAAGCAAACTCTCTTGATCTGAGCACTGCTTCCTTTCACACGCTTCTCGCTCGCTGCTTTTATCCTCGAAGAATGCCTGCGTGCCTTATCAACAGCAGTCAGGACTTCACGGTACCTGTGCGATGGGGGGTGGTGAACCCAGTTGTAGTTGAGGAAACTGAGACGCGGAAACTTTTAGAGATGTGCCCAAAGTCTCATGACCATCAGCACACTGGCCTGAGCTTAGACCTGGGAACGTCTGACTTGTGCTCTTTTGGCTGGGCTGTACTCCTTGTTGATAGTAGAAAAAAAATGCCAGTTACCAGAAACACTATAGCTGCCACCTTGAAAGGATTTGCAGGAATCTTTTTAGGGGCGGAAGAAATCCCGACAATGATCCTGTCTGCTTGCCCAAGAAAACGGAGAACGCCGTGGCATGCTTTCTGCGCTCAGAAATATTTTTGTTTTGAGCAGCATCTAATGCTTGAATTTCAAAGCTACAAATGGTATCATGAGGGAAATTATTCCAGTGGTTTGTTACCTTCAGGGCTGAGTCTGAAAGCTCAGCTGTTTCAAATACCAGTTTGTCTTATCCATAGGTCCAGCGCTTCTGATGTGGGTCAGCTGTGCCAACCAAAACAGGGGCAACTTCCTAACAACTCCATTGAGAGGTTGGAGACGCTTGCAAGAGGCTGTTTTCTTCCTGATAGTTGGTCTCTTATGCAGAGCGTGGTGACGTGAAAGTGCCTGACGGCTTGGCGTCTCATGCAGCAATGCCCCTTACTTTTTTGGGTCTTGCTAAGCAAGGGGCCAGGTGCTCGGGTAACTTGGGGAGGGTGCTTACAGCCACAGCTAAAATTCTTCACCAGCAAGTCTGGGAGCTGAGGAAAGATACTGGACAAGGTCAGGGTCCTGCTCAACACTTCAGCCAGCTCTTTTAATCTCCCCCTGAATGCTTCGGTAGGGCCGTGCTCCAATGCCCGGCCCAGCAGGGGAATCAAGGAACTGGAGAAAGCTTGAGCTGTGGGGAAACAAACTGTTTCCCCACATCCCAAAACATCTGGGAGAAGCCCTTGATCCATCTCAGAGAGGTCTCTGCTTGCATCTGGAGGCTTCTGCAGTCTCCTCCCTCCTTGCACGGCTTTAACAACAGGCCAGAGAAGAATAATGGTTGGGGAAGGGGTTGTGCCCACTGGTGTGACTCTGCAAGGATCTCTCGTCACGGCATCTGCCCCATCTCTTTATCGTCCACCCTGGTTTCTTGCTCTTTTGCCAACTGGAGAGAGCGTCATCCATTGGTAGGTGATCGCTGGGAAGTCTCTGACCAGGCTGAGCCCTCACTGAGGACACTAAGGTTTTGGGGCTGCTCATAGTCCTCACTGGCCAGACAGTGAAGCGTATCGTCTGTCGTGTCTCGCTCTCCAGGCCAGAAGTCCTGCTCAGGGTGGAGCTGTGGTGCGTAAGACAAAACCCTAGCACCCTAACCTTAACTAGCTGCTGTGGAGTTGGGGTAGGAGCATATCCCCGAAGCTCTGGGTTTAGAGCCGTGGGCCTGAGCAGCCCCAGCCATAGCCCAGGATGGCCCAGTCCTAGGTATACGGCTGTTCTCTCGTGCAGCCTGGTCCAACGTCTAGCAGGTTGAGCTATGAAGGCTGAGTGCCAGCTCTCCACCCTGTCACCTGGAAGGGCATCAGTGGACTCACTTGGGATGCTAAAAGGATCTCCCTCTCTTT